CCCCCGGTGGGGCGGGTGGGCTCAGTACGTACAGAGCGAGGGCGGTGTGTGGTGCAGGTGTGGACTGGGGCGGCGTGCGGACGAGTGGGACGCGTGGCCCCCCGGTGGGGCGGGTGGGCTCAGTACGTACAGAGCGAGGGCGGTGTGTGGTGCAGGTGTGGACTGGGGCGGCGTGCGGACGAGTGGGACGCGTGGCCCCCCGGTGGGGCGGGTGGGCTCAGTACGTACAGAGCGAGGGCGGTGTGTGGTGCAGGTGTGGACTGGGGCGGCGTGCGGACGAGTGGGACGCGTGGCCCCCCGGTGGGGCGGGTGGGCTCAGTACGTACAGAGCGAGGGCGGTGTGTGGTGCAGGTGTGGACTGGGGCGGCGTGCGGACGAGTGGGACGCGTGGCCCCCCGGTGGGGCGGGTGGGCTCAGTACGTACAGAGCGAGGGCGGTGTGTGGTGCAGGTGTGGACTGGGGCGGCGTGCGGACGAGTGGGACGCGTGGCCCCCCGGTGGGGCGGGTGGGCTCAGTACGTACAGAGCGAGGGCGGTGTGTGGTGCAGGTGTGGACTGGGGCGGCGTGCGGACGAGTGGGACGCGTGGCCCCCCGGTGGGGCGGGTGGGCTCAGTACGTACAGAGCGAGGGCGGTGTGTGGTGCAGGTGTGGACTGGGGCGGCGTGCGGACGAGTGGGACGCGTGGCCCCCCGGTGGGGCGGGTGGGCTCAGTACGTACAGAGCGAGGGCGGTGTGTGGTGCAGGTGTGGACTGGGGCGGCGTGCGGACGAGTGGGACGCGTGGCCCCCCGGTGGGGCGGGTGGGCTCAGTACGTACAGAGCGAGGGCGGTGTGTGGTGCAGGTGTGGACTGGGGCGGCGTGCGGACGAGTGGGACGCGTGGCCCCCCGGTGGGGCGGGTGGGCTCAGTACGTACAGAGCGAGGGCGGTGTGTGGTGCAGGTGTGGACTGGGGCGGCGTGCGGACGAGTGGGACGCGTGGCCCCCCGGTGGGGCGGGTGGGCTCAGTACGTACAGAGCGAGGGCGGTGTGTGGTGCAGGTGTGGACTGGGGCGGCGTGCGGACGAGTGGGACGCGTGGCCCCCCGGTGGGGCGGGTGGGCTCAGTACGTACAGAGCGAGGGCGGTGTGTGGTGCAGGTGTGGACTGGGGCGGCGTGCGGACGAGTGGGACGCGTGGCCCCCCGGTGGGGCGGGTGGGCTCAGTACGTACAGAGCGAGGGCGGTGTGTGGTGCAGGTGTGGACTGGGGCGGCGTGCGGACGAGTGGGACGCGTGGCCCCCCGGTGGGGCGGGTGGGCTCAGTACGTACAGAGCGAGGGCGGTGTGTGGTGCAGGTGTGGACTGGGGCGGCGTGCGGACGAGTGGGTCGCGTGGCCCCCCGGTGGGGCGGGTGGGCTCAGTACGTACAGAGCGAGGGCGGTGTGTGGTGCAGGTGTGGACTGGGGCGGCGTGCGGCGCGAGTGGTTCACGCAGGTGTGCGCGCAGCTGTTCGACGCCCGACGCGCGCTGTTCGTGCCGTTCAGCGACGCGCCGGCCGCGCTGGTGCACCCCAACCCCGCTCGGCCGCCGCATCTCAAGGTCTCACAACTACTCTCTGTATACCATGTGCACTTCCATGATTCACATTTTTTTTTTTGTACCAATCGGTCTTCTTCTCATCCGTTACTTTTCACCCTTTCGTTATTTTATTTTTTTATAATTTTTGTTATTGCTTAGATGCGTGAACGAGCTCACAGCCCATCTGGTGTTAAGTGGTTACTGGAGCCTATCTATAACGTAAATACGCCACCCGCCTTGAGATATAAATTCTAAGATCTCAGTATAGTTACGATGGCTGCCCCACCCTTCAAACCGAAACGCATTACTGCTTCACAGCAAAAATAGGCAGGGCGGTAGTACCTACCCGTGCGGACTAACAAGAGATCCTACCACCAGTAATTACGCAAATTATAATTTTGCGAGTTTGATATTTATTACACGACGTTATTCCTTCACCGTGGAAGTCAATCGTGAACATTTATTGAGTACGTATTTCGTAAACAATTTCGGAATGAAACTAATAAAAATTAGTACGAAATACGTACTCATTTTTATTAGTTTCATTCCGAAATTGTTTCATTTTTTCTTTACAGTCATTAATTAGCTAGATAATTGCAGAAAAAAAAAAAAACTTTCATTATCAATAATTTAAAGTGTGTTCTCAAATGACGTCATCATTGGCTTTATTAAAACAGATACCTGTGTATATCTGTATTTTTATATACTCTGTGCATGACTCGAATATCAGTTTTGATAGATTTGAGGACTTTTTGGCGGGAACGCGAGGTGTGAAGTTGTGTGATTTATTTTATTTTGTCTATTTAGTGTTTCTTCGGGTTTAAATGTGTAATAATGGTGGTTTATTAACTGTTTAATATCTGTGAAAGTACACAAATGTGGAAAAATGAAACAAAGCCGCTGGACGTAACATCTCGGGATCCTCCAAAAAGTTCACTGAAAAAACCTTAGTAAATGACCACCATTTTACTGAGATAATATTTCATCCCATTTCATTTCATTTAATTTCATCCCAGTTGATTAATGTTTTAAATTAATCATCTTCATTTCAATTCACTCCATAATATCATTTTTATCAAAAATATGAATATAAATTAAAATAAGACATGACTTAAAGGTCTCCGTTACCAGGTCATAAAATCCCTTAAAAAAATCAGTTTTGATAGTTCATCGACATCCTCAAAGGACTTTTTGGCGAGAACGCGAAGAGGGAAGTTTTGTGAATTGTTTTATTTTGTCTATTTTGTGTTTCTTCAGGTTTAAATGTGTAATAACGGTGGCTTATTAACTGTTTAGTATCTGTGAAAGTGCACAAATGAGGGAAAATGAAACAAAGCCGCTGGACGTAGCTTCTCGGGGTACTTCAAAAAGTCCACTGAAAAAGTAAATAACCACCATTTTACTGAGATTACATTTCATCCCAAATCATCTCATCTCATTGTATTTCATGCCAAATTAATTAATGTTTCAAATTAATCAGTTTCATTTCATTTCACTCCATATTATAATTTTTCATAAAAAAGAATATAAAAGATTAGGCTCTATGGTATGATACATTTGCCTTTCCAGTTGGAAAAATGGAACTACTACTCAAAGCATGAAGGTAGTCATAATTTGAACACCGTCAAAACTTTTAATAGTCTTGTCTATCAATGCCTTGTATAAAAATCCGAACGTGTTTTCAGAAATTGTTCTCAAGTTCTTAGATAAAATAATTATTCATTATTGACGTGACAACGTCTTATAATTCGATGGAGCCGGCTGCACGCACGAAAAAACATGACTCATGCGGTGTTATCTCGCTTTGAGGCGTTCCATTTAAGGCTTGAAGTGCAAGCGAGAGCGCGCAACGACCGACAAAGAGGCACAATCGGCCTCCGCGTTCGGCAGCGTTCGACATCTGTCTCTCTCCTACTTGAGTGAGCGATGCATCCGCGTGGACAGCTGCTATACAATAATACATTTACATGTTTTCGTCAAGTATGAAGTTCAGTGAAAAGTGAATGTGGTGTCAATTGTCCATTCAAAATATCTATCAAACAAATAAAATTAAAATTTTCTTTTGAAAAATGAAACCATTCCATCAGTATTTTCTTATGACGTTCAACTATCTTCAGTAAACCGACTTTACAGACAACCGATTTTTTTTATAACTGAACGGCTATGTCGACAGAAGCATAAAAAGAGTCACAGGTTATCAATTTTTGAGGCATATATTTTGTATGCCACGTTGATGACGTCATTACCTTGATAAGCGATTGTATTTACGAATTAATTATTTAAAAAAAAATTGCATTGCGTTTCAATAGTTTTTTTCAAATATTTTCTTTTTACTAGTGGTCGCCCAGCGGTCGAAATTCGACCATAATTAATTTAAAATATAATTTTGAACATTATTAAGATTCTATTGTCAAAGACTATACTTCTTTAATCACAGATTTCGCCAAGGCTACACTAAAGATAAATAATGTTAACGAAAAACAATATTAATCTATTCTCAATTTGACCACAGACTTTAACATTAAACAAAAGAGTACCTATGTGTGTGTACACTTACGTGTGTGTGTCAAATAAATGGCAGTGTGTGTATGATTTGATTGATTTAATGTATTTTTTATGCATAATTAAAAAAAATCAACATTCTGCACTCCTTCTCTATATTTTCTCCATAAAGTTTTCGTAAAAAGGGATACAAAGTTTTTGCTTCACGTATTAATATATAGATATCAATACCCACTATATTAAAATGAATGAATCATTCGATAAAAACATATTTTAGTTAAATTATTAAGTTTAAAATTTACAGGATAAAATATATAATTTGTTACTTAAATAAGTGATTGTAATACACACGGCGGATCGTTTTGCAGCTAAAGCACTTCGAGTTCGCTGGTAAGATGGTCGGCAAGTGTCTGTACGAGAGCGCGCTGGGCGGCTCCTACCGGCAGCTGGTCCGCGCGCGCCTCACGCGCTCCTTCCGCGCGCAGCTCATCGGTCTGCGCGTGCACTACAAGGTGCGCCCTGCCCTGACTTTCCGACACTGTCCCCGTCCCCGCCTGCCCCCTAACCGCTCTCGCCCCTGCCTATCCACCTGTACGCCCTCGCNGTCCCCGCCCCCGCCTGTCCCTATGTACGTCACCGACCCTTGCCTGTCCCCCTGACCGCTCCCTCGCCCCCTACTCACCTACACTAACCCGTTGCAGTACTTCGAACAAGATGACCCGGAGCTATACCTGTCCAAGATAAAGTACATCCTGGAGACGGACCTGGACGCGGCCGAGCCCGAGCTGGAGCTGTACTTCGTGGAGGAGGAGTACGACGGCGCCGGGCAGCTCGTCAACACGTGCGAGCTGGTCCCCGACGGAGCGCGCACACGGGTGAGCCTCGCCGGGACCTCCATACTAAGCGCTGTCTAGCTCAGCTGGTGTTATAGTGTCACTGTGAGTAATCAGGTCGATTTCTCGTTGTATAGTGTAACGGTCGTCCTACCTTCAACTGCTTCGCGACAGAGTACTAATCATGCTAAACTTGTAAGTCTCTGTAATACATCTTTGAAATACCACAATATAATTGCCGGTGCTACGTGCGGGTCGGGCTTGAACACACAAATTGTTTTATTTTCGTTTTATTTAATAATGTTACTCTTACCGGCGTAAGAGTAACGCCATCTATCACGGAATAGTCGAACGAATATGTATCGAAGGATCTAGTAGCATCTAGAACGCTCGAGTAGTAGAACGCCATTTATTGTTAGATAGCGGAAACATACAATACTCGACTTGTGTAGAATATTCTCGACGGTTCTAGAAATTTTGTTAACTACTAGATAACATAATATATTAAATTCGAAGAAAAGTGGTATTCGATGAATAAAGTTGTTGGTAATCGGGTTTTAAATCTGTTGTGTCGACACTTGGGTACCTAGGCGATGTTGTGTCGTGTCGTGACGTCTAATCACAGAATGTGTTCGTCTTGCGCGCCCCTCCACCCTTGCGCCGCCTGACGACGAACGCAGGTGTGAAATGTGGTTGGTGTCCCAGGTCCGCAACAGTACGAAGCTACAGTACCTGGACCTGGTGGCGCAGCGGCGGCTGGCGGCCCGCACGCGCGCAGAGACCGACGCCTTCCTGCGCGGCCTCACGCTGCTCGTGCCCGACAACCTGCTCGCCATCTTCGACGAGAACGAACTCGAGGTGAGCGGGGCGCGGGGTGGGGGTGCGGGGCGGGGGGCGGGGGTGCGGGGCGCGGGGGCACGCGGCGAGGCTGACGGCGCGCTTGTACAGCTGCTGGTGTGCGGCACGGGCGAGGCGTGCGCGGCGGACTGGCGGGCGCACGCGCTGGTGTGCGGCGCGGGGCGGGACTGGGAGCGGCTGGTGGGCTGGTTCTGGGCCGCGCTCAGCAACTTCAGCACCGAGGAGCGCGCCCGCCTGCTGCAGTTCACCACCGGCTGCTCGCAGCTGCCGCCCGGGGGCTTCCAGGTACCATTCTTTTTTATTGCTTAGATGGGTGGACAAGCTCACAGCTCACCTGGTGTTAAGTGGTTACTGGAGCCCATAGACATTTACAACGCAAATGTGCCACCCACCTTTAGGTGTAAGTTTTAAGGTCTCAGTACAATAGTACAACGGCTCCTTCAAACCGAAATGCATTACTGCAGAAATAGGCGGGGCAGTGGTCCTTACCCGTGCGGACTCACAAGAGGTCCTACCAGTAGTAATTACGCAAATTATAAATTTGCGGGTTTGATTTTTATTACACGATGTTATTCCTTCACCGTGAGAAGTCAATCGTGAACATTTGTTAAGTACGTATTTAATTAGAAAAATTGGTACCCGCTTGCGGGATTCGAACACCGTTGCATCGCTCGATACGAATGCACCGGACGTCCTATCCTTTAGGCCACGACGACTTCAAAACGCACTCGACACAATCGCACATCGAGCTCTGTAAGTACTGCTGCCCATGGACATCGAGGAACGCCGGATGCTATCAAAACTCCTGTTGATGTGATCGCGGCCGGTTCCAGGAGCTGAACCCTCGCTTCCAGCTGTCCCCGGCGCCCACGAGCGGCGCGCTGCCCACGGCGCACACGTGCTTCAACCAGCTCTGTCTGCCGCACTACGACTCCTACGAGCAGCTGGTGCGTGCGCTGCTCTGGGCCATCAACGAGGGCGGCGAGGGCTTCGGCATGATCTGAGCCGCCGGGCCCCTAGACATGATACAATGATCTCTATAGCTTCAACGTTAAGGTCCAATGTTCGTGAGCCGATTGTTCTAGTCATAATCGTTACGAGTAAGAGCACAAAAGAAATCGATCGAACATTATGTGCGTTATCTGTGCCGTGCATGACGTGTCGACGTCAACTGTCAGTGTCAACTGTCACAGTTGACGTTGACGTATATGAAAGATTTGAGTGTCTGGAATTGATCATTAATTTTAAGTTAGATGTGCTTCTGTGATTTCGAAGTTTATTTAAGTCAACGGAGATTTGTCATATAGCCCGGGCCGCCAGGAGCGCGCTGTCTGTCACACTCAATACTAGTCGTTGCTCTTTCTTCTGTGATCTTTACGAAAGTTTTAAATAACTTTGATCACACATCCTTGTATCGGCCACACTCGAATGCGTTTAACCACTATTTAGGTTAATACTACATCACTGGTGGTAGCATCTCTCTCTTGTGAGTCCGCACGGGTAGTCACCACCACCCTGCCTATTTCTGCCGTAAAGCAGTAACGCGTTTCGGTTTGAAGGGCAATGCAGCCGTTGTGCTGTAACAACTCCATATCTCAAGATGAGTGGCGGCATTTACGTTGTAGATGTCTATGGGCTCCAGTAACCACTTAACACCAGGTGGGCCGTGAGCTCGTCCACCCATCTAAGCAATAAAAAATAAAATAATAATAATAATAAAGCAGATATTACTTACTCACACAATTATATTGTTTAGGTAGTCATTTTTGTCTATTGTATAATGTTGCCAATGTCAATAACTAGTGCAGAAACATTAGTTCCGTGCTCCTTACACAAGTTGGGCGGCGTCACGTAGATTGAGAACCGACAATAATATTATGGACGGGTCCATCCGACTAGGTTATATTTGTAGGTGTAATAACGTAATTATTTATATTTAATTTTAAGTTTTTTTTCTCGCACATCTCCTTTTGTTCCACATTTTAAGATGAGCGCTGATCTATGAGATTGCTATTTAGTAGCTTTAGTCACTCTGACAAGATAACGTTTTAGCGGTAGGCAGTGGCTTGGCTCTGCCCCTGGCATTGCTGAAGTCCATGGGCGATGGTAACCACTCACCATCAGGTGGGCGGTATGCTCGTCAAGGGCAATAAAAAAAAACGTGGTCATATCCATTATTGGTATTTAAATCACCGACGCTCTCTCTAAAACTAGGACACATTTAATGTGTTCTAATGACAGCATCCGATCTGTATATACATAAGGACGCGCGCATATTGTGCGTTCCCGCCGGATTCGGACACCCGACAAACATTGTCCCCACCTTAGACGCATCGGTCTAGTGTGATGTGTATCAATAAAATATTTAACGTCATACAAAATTTTGTGCTAACAATAACTTTACTGGTGGTAGGACGTCTTGTGAGTCCGTGCGGGTAGGTACCACCACCCTCCCTATTTCTGCCGTGAAGCAGTAATGCGTTTCGGTTTGAAGGGCGGGGCACCCGTTGTAACTATACTGAAACCTTAGAACCCGGATCTCAAGATGAGTGATGGCATTTACGTTGTAAATGTCTATGGGCTCCGGTAACCACTTCGCACCAGGTGGGTTGTGAGCTCGTCCACCCGCCTAAGCAATAAAAAAAGAAAGAAAAAAACTACTTGGAGAAGGAAGTAATCATTTTACCTAGATTTATTCTCAAAAATTAATAGTTTTTCGATGAACAATTGCCCCTGCTATAGGTTATTTTGCAAACTACACACTCTCCGTGGACCTCAATGGCTATTACAACAATGGACGAAAATAGTCCTTCACAACTTATTACGATGAACTCACACAGATGCTGTTTAAATTTATAGTTTACAAGTAACCCCATTATCGTAAAAGAGGAATAAAGTATTTAAAATTTATTTACAAATATTTTGTAAGCACGTGCGGCCTAAAAGTTAACAATCAAAATTCGAACAAAAAAGATTTACGTTTTATCTCATTAAGTCACACGATTCAACAAAGTCATGCTGCAATATTCAACGATTGTTTTTTTTTAAACGCCAAACACTAAATTCAATTTTTTCCGTGAAACTCTCTAATACAATATCTTATTATCTGTAACGTATGAAAAAAAATTAAATAGGACTTAAGTAGCGTCTTTTGTTCGTTTATGAAAAATTCAAAACGTTTTGCTTAATTTTAATGGTAAAAAAAATCGCCATAAAATTAGCAATGATTAATGATAACAACCTATTTATAAAAAAAAAAAGAATGTACAAATCCATTGAGCACGTTTCGTGCTTTGTAAACATAGTTCTTTTAATTTTATTTTCTACCAAAGTTGGTAACATTATCGAGTCATGCCAGTGAGACAGTTTAATTGGAATTTAATTGAAATGATCGAAGTCGGAAAACGCTACATATAGTGGCTTTTCGAAGTGACTTGGGGCGTGAAACACATCAGAGACTTAAATAGGATCACTGCAATATATTTATCGCTAACACATCCATAATGATAATATGGGAACATATGTAGTCCCTGCATGCATTTAGACATCAGCAGACATCAGACACGACCGGAACATATGCGATGACGGGGTCAGATCGTATATCGGATGAACTTGGTTTCCGAACCTCATCATAGACAACATTCTTGACAATTTTAAATCAGGTTAGTAAACCAAACACAAAAAACATCAAATCAAATCAAAAAAAAATATTCAACATAAATGAATAGTATTTACTCTTGTTGAAAGTCAAAAAGAACTACCGCCAATTCACAAAAACTAGCCTCCGTCCTGAGAAGAACTGGCGGGCATGTCTTCATCTTTTATTTTTTTAATAATAGATTTTTTTTTGAATATTAAGTTTTAAAATGATTATTATAACGTAACAATTATTGCAATATTGAAATGCCCGGACCGAGCAACTCATTCCCACTTTGTGCAATCTTCTAGATAATCATTGACTTTATAGTAAGCTTTATTGCACATATGTTCTTTAATAGTTTTCTCAAACCTATGTATATGTAGGCTCTGAACATCTTGTGGGATTTTGTTGTACAGGCATCAAAATCACTTGTCAATGGATTTTGGTCAATAATATAGCAAAAGTACTGCGGATACTCGTTAGTCGCTACTTGCTTCTGTACCGAGACGGCATGGGCACTCAACAACATACTGCACAAATTGAGCACTTGACGCATTAATTATTAAATAATAGACTTTATGAACGCAAATTGTTGTATTGTAGAACAGGTAGACTTCTCTTTCGTCCATTGTGGAATCTCTTGTAATTTTAAGGACACATTTAACGTGTTTTTCTCTTAAATGTTGTTTATTCCGTATTAACTAATGTTATTCAACCAAATATATAACGGTTAACTAATATTTAATTCAGACCTATTAATTAATAATGAAAATATTGTCACCCAGTGTGCTAGAAACATTTAGAATGTTCGAAAAGGAAATTGAATGACGGCAGTCAAAGAGAACTTTCTATGTATTAAATTAAAAATCTTGAGTTCGATGCGTTGAAATATTTGGGATTGCTGCATGGTGTACTCTGTGCGTTCACAGTGCTGCATAAAATATGGTTCTGGAGACAGTTCGCCATCGGTCCAACGACTGCACTGGTCCAATGAATAGGACGGTTTTTGACCATTAGGTAAGCGCTTTAGTTAGGTTAGCGCAAAAACGAGTTAAACAATGCAATTTAGGTTATAAATTTTCGCGCCAAAACGCATCGAACTGTCATGACTCTGATATCACGAAGTTCAGGTTTGCAAAACGTTACAACATTCTCTATGATAGGCGATTTACTTTTCATTAAATCTTTATATTAGCTATGATCTTAAGATCATAAAAATCGGCCACAAATTTATTCAAACGTTATTTAAAGGACAAAATACACAATAAAAGTAAAATTATTTCTGTGATCATTCTGAAATCAGTCCTAAAACAATAAAATGTTAATTTCCATATTTTTTGTTTCAAACTAGTCGTACGGGGCGCAATTCTCCGAACCTTTCCGATACATTCATCTAGGCTGTACATAGAATGTATGTACATATTGGCCTACTAGAGAAAGAAATTAGATCTTTTTTACAAGTGAGCCAGTATATTGCAGCAAGATATCTCTTGTGGTGTACCAAAAATATTTCCATATTCATATTCCAGTCATGGTAACCAAATTGAAAAAAAAAGTATTGTGTACGTAGTCGAATTATTGTTGATTAGAATGTTAAGACTGAACAATAAATAAATAAACTAAATTTGTTGTTTTTTTTCTTAATTTTTTTTTCCAGTGTTTTGTTTCCCGGTTAACTTGAAACAAAATACATTACTTTGTCGTCCGTTAGCCTATGACTCTGTGTAAATCATTTGATTTTTTTTATTATGGTTATAATGAGGTATGTGGTTGAACGAGGTTTTTTTTTTCTACACTAGAATTTCCCTAGAAATCTTATTTAAGGCAACACAACGTTTGCCGGGTCAGCTAGTTTTATTATAAATATTGATTTTAGATTTCAAATTAGGTCTGCATACGGGTGACATCTTAATCAGACAGGTCCTTCCTAAAGTGTCAGTGGTTTTTTATCATGGTAAGTAGCGAGACGAGCAATCTTGAGGCGCAATATCTCATCTCATTCGAAACGACCGCGCGATGCTGCGTGGCAGAGATTATCGATATATTATTATGTTACAAGAGAAAATCTTCAGAGCCCAAAACAATACAGCGCAGTCTTAACAAACAAGACTCCGCGTCCCAGGACGTTTTTACTGGTGGTAGCGCCTCTTGTGAGTCCGCACGGGTAGGTACCACCACCCCGCCTATTTGTGTCCTACCCTACCAAATGCCATCGTTTTCGGTAAAATGTAAACTGAACAATTTACACAATAATAAAGTGGTTTTACTTAAACTAATCCTTGGAGGAAACTCCACGAAAAAAAGACATCATATTGTATCAATTTAATAAATCTATATATTAAAATAACAATTAATAATACAAGGTAAGTAAACGAAATCTTAATACGAATTACAAAATACACTTAAGAAAATACAATAATAGTAAAACGATACGTAAAATACTTACCAAAAATACCTACCACACGATTCCTGCTTAGTTTGTCACAATAAATAGTCGAATGATACATACACGAATAACAAATAGAATATTAGATTTACGTTATTATTTAGCATCCACTGCGCGCTGGCAACATGGACCACAGAAGAGCTTCCGGCATCGACATCGGGCACCGGAGCCAAGACCTGGCCACACCGAGCATCCTGCAAACGTACGGTTCAGAAACACCTCAATTAAAAATCTTGAAGACCGTTTCTTCACTATTATTCGGGACCGCGATATATATTTTTCTCGTTTGTTTGTCAAACGTATTGCTTTTTTTGTAGCTATTAACGAGATTTAGTATTAATAATAAATATCTTTTTATTGCTTAGATGGGTGGCCGAACTCATAGCCCATTAAGTGTTTACTGGAGCTCATAGACATCTACAACGTAAATGCGCCACCCACCTTGAGATATAAGTTTTAAGGTCTCAGTATAGTTACAGCGGCTGCCTCGCCCTTCAAACCGAAACGCATTACTGCTTCGCGGCAGAAATAGGGAGGGCTGTGGTATATACCCGCGCGGACTCACAAGAGGTCCTACCACCAGTAAAAAACAAAAAAAAATTCTTGCTTAATATGAAAAAACATCAAATGAATTTAAATCTTGAGGTGACGGTGATTACGATCAAATTTGGATCACAGGACCGTGGGCTTAGTGTTCATGCACAGGGACTAAGGTATAAGTGACCGCTCCCGAAGTCGGAAACACCGTGACTATGTACCGGCTACTCATTAGCTGAAAACAGTGTCCTTTCTGCCCCACTCAACGGATTGTATTTTTACTGAATTTGTTTCTTTCGTTGAGCCCACAAAGTAAGTGAAAGGTGTGTGACAGGAGGTCGTTGACCCCGCGCGCTGTCCACCCTATAGTTGCGCTACATTGCATCCAATTTTTTTATCGCAGTTTTCGATGACAAAGTCAAGAATCAAGAGTCTCTTTTTCTAGGAAAAACCCTACAGCATAACATAATTATTATTTAAAAGTCCGCGAGTTACTTGGTCAGAGGCCGCGGCCACCAATCCAATTGTTCTCGGGTCATTTTGAGATCAAGCTCCAATCTCGTTAGGTGTTCCTTCAGCTGTTCTACCACACGTCTCAGGGTGCAAGTCTCGGCGGCTGCCATGCTCACCCGGGCGCTCAGCTCTGAGCATTCCCGAGCACTACACTCTCGTGCCCTTTGAAACGTTAGTCAGCACTTTCATATATGGATTAAAACACTTAATTAATTGATAAGCATTATTTAATATGAAACACGCACTTGACCGAACACAAGGAATTGGGGAAGGAAAAAGTATTAGGAAAAGACAAGAGAGAAGTTAAGTAAAGAGCAAGATAGCTACATTTTAGAATGACAAGTGTCGAATGCGTTTAGGAATTGGTTTGATATCTCACACACTCGTTAGTGGGTGATAATTCAATTAAAACTATGTATTTGTTTCTATACAGCTGTTTTAAAGACTAGACGTCTACCTCTACGAGGTAGATTTATACTTCTATAGGTACTAATATTATAAAGAGGAAAAATTTGTTTGTTTGTTTGTATTGAATAGGCTCCGAAACTACCGAACCGATTTGAAAATTTTTTTCACTGTTTGGAAGCTACACTATTCCCGAGTGACATAGGCTATAATCATTTTTGTAAAAATTAGGGATCCTTACTAAAACTCCAATAATGTAACCCAAGGTGTAAAAAAATTACCTAAAATATTCTTTGCATCGCGTGCCCTGCGAAAACTATTGATGATAGAATAAAATAATGTACTACGACTTTGTAGAACACATTATTATTTACAAAAAGTTTCGCGATAGCATAATATGTCTAATTATTATAGTTATGCCACACTAAGTGTTCTTTTATTAAAAAAAATAAAACAACGTCAGATATCGTTGAAATATTTGTTAAAGACCCGAGCGGAGCCGGAGCAGGTCCCTAGTAAAAAATAAAACAATATTTTATTTTTTATTAAAACTCACAGTTGTTCCATTTCAAGCTTCTGGAAGGTTTCCTCTAGCACTTTCTGCTTTTCTTCAGCCTCTCGACGCAGCGTCGCGAGCTGCGACTCGGCAGTGGATAGCAAGTCTTTCCGCTGAACCAACTGTTGCTCCATTAACGAGAGCTGTGCCATTAAACCAACACTGAAATGGCCTCTCTTAATATTTTATGGAAGTTTCCAACAGATTTCAAGTGTACCGATTTATAAAATTATTGTTACGCCGAATACTCGAACGAACATCGAAGGATCTAGTAGTATCTAGAACGCTCGAGAAGTACAACGCCAGATAGCGGAAACACAATACAAGACTTTTGCGGAATATTCTCGACGATTCTAGGGATTTCGTCTTGACTATAAAAGCGTTGCAGAGATGGCATGCAGTCAGTCACCTGTCCTGGTGAAACTGGAAAGGCCTTCGGGCCACCAGTAATCTTTCAATCATAAAAAAAAACCCCGTCAGTTAGTAATCGGAACTACTCGAAGCGAAACAGCGAACGGATCACCAGAAGCGAGGCGGAAGAAGCGAATTGAGAGTTTTAAATTGTTTTAAGTGTTCTAAGTGTTGAATTAAGTTTTTCGTTGTAACTTGGTGGAATTTTATTTATCTCGAACCGCGTAACATTATGCTTCTCATGATACCCACTGGGTACCTTGCTTATTAAATTATTAATTAAATTCTGTAAGCTTCGGGTGACTTGCACGGATCTCCTCAAAGCTTACATTCCATCTTTATGACTAAACGCATAAGTCGTTTTGAAATTATTTTACTCAGCAATACTTAATCCGATCCCATTGATTCTCAACAAATATTTTCTATCCATTGTCTGGGTAATCTAATAAACTTATGCTCGGTTGGACTTTTATGGAGCAAGGTCATGGCTTTCGAGAAATGGGGGCAGAAATTGTGCATACCTACCTCATATGAAACTGACGTGAGCATCAATTTATAAGTTGTCTTTAACAATAGGTTTTTTTTAATAAGCACTTGCGGTATTGCATTAATTTTCCCCGACCACGAAACTAATGTACATAATTGGCCTCATTCTTCATGTTATAATGATTGTTTTCGTTCAGCTCGCGTAACTGACACGATGTGTTTAGTAAATGACTTGCATTAAAAAGATTATATTTTTTTAATGTTTTAAAAGGCAGGCGAAATGATGTCTTATCTTATCTTTAAGCCGGGTTACCGGATTTTCACTTTAAGCCACGAAATTGGAAACTCTTTTGCTTTAAAGTAAATAGCTATCATAGCTTATAATAATATGCAGATACATATTTGGATTATTCCGATGTGCGGGCAACAGTAGATGGTTCCTCCATTCGGGTAGTCATAAAAACAGAGTTAGAGAGCTGTGTAAGTTCACCTGCAACAGGGCGGTGGAAACGGAACCTAACTACCGTACTACGAGTTTAGGAGTCCATTACTATTAGAAAGTAACTTAATTTTCATAATGATATTTTAAATTTGAGGCTTAACAATAATAATTGTCCGACGAAATTTATCGCGTACGCGGATCACAATAAAGTCCTACTTGAGGCCAATGCGTGATAAGTTAGAGTTATGTTAGGAATCTCCAGACAACGCACTTACCGCTGGACTTTTTGACGGGAACGCAAGGAGTGTAGTTGTGTGATTTGTTTTATTTTGTATATTCAGTGTTTCTTCAGGTTTAAATGTAATCACGATGGTTTAAGTATTAACTGTTTAGTATCTGTGAAAGTATACAAATGTGGGAAAATGAAACAAAGTCGCTGAACGTAACTTCTCGGGATCCTCCAAAAAGTCCACTGAAAAAGTTTCAGTAAATGACCACCATTTTACTGGGATTATATTTCATCTCATTTCGCTTCACTTCACTTCATGTCATCATTTTCATAAAAATGGTTTTTTGATTTGACTTAACCTTAGTCTTAGTTAACTTAACTTAGTCTTAGTTACCAGTGTGCTTAGTGAGTTTTTTAACGTTCTCGATAGCGTAAAAGTTAGCTCATATTTGTATGGAATGAGATCGTTTGCGTACGTTTGCCGCTAGGGGCGCTGTTCCAACTCCATACAAAATTGGGTTAACTTTTACGCTATCGAGAACGTTAAAAAACTCGCACTAAGCACATTGGTCATAAAATCCCTTAAAAAAAAGCACTAACCGCACGCAGCGCCCGGTCGCGACGGGCGCGCTCTGCGGCGAGCGTCCTGTCCGCCCGCGCGCCCGCCGCTTGGAGCTCGTTGCGCGCGTTCCGACAATCTAACCAACATACGTACACCCTTCAGCTTTGACACATAACAAGCCCTGAGCGACGAGCTCATGTAAGTGATTGGATTGTAGCAGATGTTGGATCGAAGTCTCAATAGAAATATGAATAACAGTCATACCAAACGATGTAGGATCGCAATAGGTTTTCATAATAAGGTGAAGATAAACTTATTAAATCACTTTTATTAATAACGGTGAAGTACCAGCGCCTTGCTAGCGTCCGTATGTTCTGATCAATAGCCGGATCAAACAATATATTTCGCTTTTATAATGGCAATGCCAAGAGCACGGCCAAGCCGCTGTCTCCCACAATAAAGTAACATAGGAGACGGGATGAAATAGGCCTTCAATCGTTGCATAAATGTTCATTAACAACATGGAGAAACTCGAAGCATCCATGTCCACGGGTAAGAGTCTATTATATAAGACTATTCAAATTACGATTGAAATTCTGTATACCTACAGTTCAATTTCTAAGCTATTCAATTTTAATAAGATCGAGAATGGCTTGTCTTTATTTACAATAAGTTATACTATTATACTCTTGCAAGGCTCAATTTTGTTCTAAAACATCAAAAGATGGGAGGTGGAATTGATAGTAAATAAGTAAGTAAGTACACATCGAAATGGGTTTTGCATTTATTTGCTGATTGCTGGCGTTCAGCATCAAGATTATGTTCTGAATTTTCTCGACGTCGTGTAAAGAATATAATGACGTCACTACTATCATTTTCACAATAAAAAGTTCAGACAGAGGCGGCTTTTCCTATGGTGCAGGCATTTTGAGAAGGCGGCACGACACGAAAACCCACTTGTCGTGGCCGCCGGAAATTACATACCGGATCCTGTGGACCGAACGACAAACAGTCGACGTCGCCCTAAACACGTCATTTTGTATCTTCCCGATCCATTAACGGTGCTTTTAGGTACCTCAAGCACCGGTCATCGTCCTCGCCGAACCCGTCGCTTGCGACGAAGGGCTCGACGAGTAAATTAACCTATAGACACAGCCCACTGAGTTTCTCGCCGGATCTTCTCAGTAGGTCGCGTTTCCGATCCGGTGGTAGATTCTGCGAAGCACTGCTCTTGCTAGGGCCAGTGCTAGCCACAGTCCCAGTTTGAGTCCGGTGAGCATACACGTCAAGGAGAAGCTGAAATAGCCTCTCAAGGCTATCAGCACAGAAAAAAATGTGTTGCAGGGTTTTTTTTCCTACATATCCTTGTACTCTGGAGGGGTTTATACTAGATTCGCAGAATGAGTAGGTGAGCTCACGGGGCTCTAACCTGAGGACGTTGCTAACACTAACCCTAGCAAGAGCAGTGCTTCGCAGAATCTACCACCGGATCGGAAACGCGACCCACTGAGAAGATCAGGCGAGAAACTCAGTGGGCTGTGTCTTTGGGTTGATGCAGGGTGTGGGTGCAGCGGTGTTATAGGTCGCTGGTCTCGACACTTCCAATGAACCTGTTACATTTGTACCTATTCCGTTTTGTCTTCACTAAAGAGCTCCAGGGTAATGATTGCCCAGGGGCACTATATAGGCTAGAGACGCCTTTTGTTGCTACGAAATAAAATGTTAAAATAGATATATACCGATACTTAACTGCGAGGCCTTGTCTTCAGCGGCGATCACATCCTCTTCCAAAGCACGTTTTTCCTGTATTCGTGTATTTATTTAATGAGAAAGTATTTTTTTTAAATAAATAGGTACATATATAAGTATATATAGTAAACACTCGGACAAAGAGCAAGCAAACCTGTTCATCATTCCAATGTTTTCCCGATGTGAGAATCGAACCCATGACCATCGAGTAAATCAAAATAACTATTTTTTTTATTGCCGTATAGGCAAACGAGCAGCCGGCCCACCTGATGGTAAGTGGTTACCGTCGTTCGTGGACGTCAGCAATGCCAGGGGCAGAGCCAAGCCGCTGCATGCCGTACCTATATAACTATTATGCTATATATATATATATATATCTCATATATACTAATTCTTGTTAGTTTATCGGTAGCTGTACAGTGTGCTTAGTGCGAGTTTTTTAACGTTCTCGATAGCGTCAAAGTTAGCTCATATTTGTATGGAATGCGATCGTTTGCGTACGTTTGCCGCTAGGGGCGCTGTTCCAACTGCATACAAAATTGGCTTAACTTTTACGCTATGAGAACGTTAAGAAAGTCGCACTAAGCATACAGAGCGATAACGGCAACGACCTTGAACCGCACTTCTTCACATACAGGCGACCCTTGACACTTCATAAGATTGTGCAATTATAAATAGTAATGCATTATTTACATGATTTTCATTTTACGAAGGTAAGACAATACAGTATTACTGCTTAGACTTTAGAATGAAGAAGTCGTTAGGTAGAACGTAGTCGTCGTGGCCTAAAAGATAAGACGTCCGGTGCATTCGTATATAGCGATGCAACGGTGTTCGAATCCCGCAGGTGGGCACCAATTTTTCTAATGAAATACGTAGTTAACAATTGTTCACGATTGATTTCCACGGTGAAGGAATAACATCGTGTAATAAAAATCAAATCCGCAAAATTATAATTTGCGTAATTACTGGTGGTAGGACCTCTTGTGAGTCCGCGCGGGTAGGTACCACCACCCCGCCTATTTCTGTCGTGAAGCAGTAAAATACGTTTCGGTTTGAAGAGACTATAATGAGACCTTAGTACTTATATCTCAAGGGGGGTGGCGCATTTACGTTGTAGATGTCTATGGGTTCCAGTAACCACTTAACACCAGGTGGGCTGTGAGCTCGTCCACACATCTAGGCAATAAAAAAAAAAGAACACAACTAGATCTATGCCGGTCCGTTGCCAACTACTAGTGAATAAAACCATCAACGCTATCTAGTTTATTTTTATTAAGTTCAATTCAAACGTGTTTATATAGATGATGCCTGTTCGCGCAGNTTGTAGATGTCTATGGGTTCCAGTAACCACTTAACACCAGGTGGGCTGTGAGCTCGTCCACACATCTAGGCAATAAAAAAAAAAGAACACAACTAGATCTATGCCGGTCCGTTGCCAACTACTAGTGAATAAAACCATCAACGCTATCTAGTTTATTTTTATTAAGTTCAATTCAAACGTGTTTATATAGATGATGCCTGTTCGCGCAGTTCTGCAGCTTCTTATCAGCCCACAGACGTCCACTGCTGGACATAAGACTCCTCCCAAGCCTCGCCACAAAGATCGGGCCTGTGCTGTCTGCACCCAGCGGATCCCCGCGAACCTCAATAGATCATCGGTCCACCTTGTGGGCCTACCCACGCTACGTCTTGCCCACGGAGTTTCTCGCCGGATCTTCTCAGTGGGTCGCGTTTCCGATCCGGTGGTAGACTCTGCATAGCACTGCTCTTGCTAGGGCCAGTGTTAGCACTACTCCGGTTTGAGCCCCGAGAGCTCACCTACATGTTAGGGCGAAGCTGAAATAGCCTCTCAAGGCTATCAGCGTAGGAAAAAAAGCTACGTCTTCCGGTACGCGGTCGCCACTCAACAACTTTCTGGCCCCAACGGTCATCCGTTCTACGAGCAATGTGTCCTGCCCCATGTCAGTTCTGCAGCTAACCGTACAAAATACATCATTGCACTGTGGTCGCAACTAAACTAACCGAATTAACTGTCGTAACAACGTCAATACTCACCCGTTCTAGTACAGCCTTCTTAATGTCCTTATCTTTGAGGAGCTGCTTCAGACGGTCCAGCTCTCTCATAGCGAGACGGACCTTCACGTTGTCCGAATCCAACAGAGACTTAAGCGCCGACACTTGCATGCGGAGTCGTTCCGAGCATGACACCTGGAGAATACGGACATATTTCATAACGTTACAGTGTGCTTAGAGCGAGTTCTTCAACGTTCTCGATCGCGTAAAAGTTAACTCAAATTTGTATGGAGTTGGATCGTTTGCCAACGTTTGCCGCTAGAGGCCCTGTTCCAACTGGATACAAAACTTCGTAAACTTCAACAGAAGAAAAAAAGATAAAAAATATGGCTGACTTTAAGTGCATTCATTAAAGTACTTTTTAATCACACCAATTTGCAATCCCCGCTTGGCACGTTAGTATCGAATGTACAGTTTGCATTATTTAATAATATGTCATTTTAATTAAATAACTTTTTAGGTCTCCGGGGCTAATTAAGTATATAAACTTGAAACGACTTCGGGCAGAAATGAGCCGTCTCCTTTGAGTTAGGTTTGAAGGGTGGGGCAGCCGTTGTTACTATACTGAGACCTTAGAACTTATATCTCAAGGTGTGTGGCACATTTACGTTGTAGATGTCTATGGGCTCTAGTAACCACTTAACACCAGGTGGGCTGTGAGCTCGTCCACACATCTAAGCAACAAAAAAAAAAAAAAAGAGTTAACTTTGACGCGATCGAGAACGTTAAATAGCTCGCACTAAGCACACTGTTCCTTTTTTGATAGTTGTGTTTTAATGTTAATACTGGCTTCGATCGAACTTTGATTAACACTTAAAACGTTGAGTACCTGAAACTCCAAAGTCTTCCTCAAGCAGCGCACCTCGTCCCGCCGCCGGCGCCAGGCCGTCACCAACATGAACCGACCCACCCGGGCCGCGGCGCGCTCCTCGACTATACCACGTAGCGCTGGCCTTACTAAATGAACCTCCTTGTCTTTCCTGGTAGGACAAAGAAACAACGGTACAAACTACGCGATAAAACGAGCTCACTGTTGGATTTCCTTTTCCTTATTCCTTCCTCAATCCCCTATCCACGCCATCTGTTGACACTACAAGAAAAACTACGCGTGTGAAAATGGCGCGAAGAGTGTGTAAGAAAAAACTAAAACAAGGTCCGGTGCAAAAGCAATAAAATTGTGATTTGTTGATCAATCAGCACATATAACTCTCGCCAGTGAGAAAATTTAATAGTGCATCAACGAACTACGGAGTAAGTCCTAAAACTTATTCTTTTCTCAGTCCCAAACATATCTAAATTCAAAACACTACCTACCTTTTTTTTTCTACCTAAGCTGAGAGCCTTGAGAAGCTATTTCAGCGTAACCTTAACTAGTAGGTGGGCTCACGGGGCTCAAACCTGACGACGTTGCTAACAATGGCCCTAGCAAGAGCCGTGTTTCGCGGAATCTACCACCGAATCGGAAACGCGACCCACTGAGAAGATCCGGCGAGAAACTCAATGGGCTGTGTCTGAGGGTTGCTCACTACCATTTCCGCATCATTTTAATCTATTTGTGGGCCTTTCGTAATACCTACGCTATGAAAACTAAATACCTACGTCGTAAAATTATTCAAATCGCAATATACAAGTTGATAACGAAACCGTTTGTAAAGATGTAACCGTATTTATAAAAATAACCTACATGCACACAAGTGCCAAAAATTATCTTTATCGTTTCGACAAATTCGTGTGATGTGCATATAAGTTCAGAGTTCAGAGAGAAGATAGCTGTCGGACGCTAGGCCGCGTTGTATTGCACTTAATTTATATATTGCGTCAAAAATCACTAGCCTTCCTTTGCAGCCAATATACAACAAATAAAAATGTCATTAGTTAGTGCACGAAACATAAGCTACACGAGATCGGCGCAACCCTATTTGCGAAATAAAGGTAAGTCCCGTTATAATTTTACTGTGCTATTTTACTAAAAGCGGATGCCTTGCATGCGAAATTCAATGCCGACTATTAGTTTCAAAACATATTACTTTGTTGCGTTCAAGTTTTCAATTTTGCTTCTTTTCGTGGGTGTCAAGTCTTCCATCGAGGCAGCCTTGTGTCCGATCTTCGGAGGTCGCCCTTGCTTGCGGTACTCATCCAAGCAACTCTTGATCCTGGCGAGGTTCACGCTAGATTCTGGTTTCTTTGCGGTGAATTTGTTCACGGGAGTCAAGAAGAGCTGCTTTTTGGGGTGTAAGCGCTGAAGTCGCCTGTCCCAGACCAAAAAAAAACAGATAATATTATGAGGCCATCAAATTTTCATGATAAGTTCGTGATTATATAATATGGTACAACTTCTGTACAATTTCTAATCGTTAATCTTTACAATATAAACTGTAAAAGTTAAAAAAAAACTTCAAATCACCACTTTGATTTAACCAAGCTCTCGCTCGCGCTCTTGTTGCAGCTTTGAGCTGAGAATCTTCAACTAGTAGTAGTATTATAAATATACTATTTACTTACTCTTATGTTAATATGTAAAACTTCAAACGCGCGACTTCGTGCATGCGAAGTGCAAAAGTGTTTAGTTGCCAAGAATGTAAATGTAAATCTAAATCGCAAGAGTATTAGTTGCGATCATACCAATCATTTTAGGGTGAAAAAACCTCACCTAGGAGATTAAATTTCAATGACTTCATTAAAAGTCTCCCAACCGGTTTTACAGACCTAATATTGGTCCGGTAGATGTGTACCATTGATTGATTGATTGAAAATTCTTTATTGCACAAAAATATTATAGAAAGCGAACTTAACGCCACGCAGGCATTCTCTTCCGGTGAACCCTCGTTGATGAAGTGAAAGATTCAAGAAGTGTGTAGCTATGATAAAGTTAATACATGGCGATAATTTAAAGAATTATAGTAGACACGAGTAAAATGAACACTAGGCCATATGTATGTATGTATGTATATTCTTGAATGAAGATATATTACATGCATTTAAATCACCTAGATAATTTAGGTCGTTCAACCAATTAAGTGCACTAACCCCAAAAGTCAAGTTTCCGCACAATTATGACACTGATGATCAAATAATAAAAACAACCAGCGGAATGACTTGGAATGACGGAAGATCTGGGTAGTCTATTGGCCGTAGGAAAACACCGTCTACCAACTCTATGGTGGGACTGTAAGAGTCGGATCCCTATAATCATCCGATCGCTTGTTCCTCAAGCCCAGTTAGAATAGGTAGATACCGAAGAAAAACCTACGTTGTACGAACAGACACAGAACTGCTACTTCATCGTATTAATATTTAAATCATACTAGACGATGACCGGTTTTTTTTTTATAAATTGTGTTTTTTAGAAATTATATTTAAATACAAATTACATATTGATAAAACGATGAAATATTCCAAGATCGTTTAGGCATTTTAAGTGGCTTCGGAGTTCGGGTGGCTTAACAACGCCATCTGCTGAAATAGCTTTAGCGTTATTGTGTCTTTAAAGCAGTTAGTTAATTCACCAATAGATGATTAAGTTGGTTATATTGAAAACACGACTAAAACAACATTTTCTGAAAATAAATCGTAGCTAGTACAATTTATCGCCACCGAAATCGCCCGTATACTAATTTTTATAAAAATCGTTGGAGCCGTTTCCGAGATTCAGATTATATACCTATATTTATACAAGAATTGCTCGTTTAAAGGTATAAGATTTTAGGACAATATTGAAAAGGCATGGGTTGTAAAAGATTTTCTAATTCAAATCGCAGTACTATAAATTTTTTATCCAAATCAATTAACATTCATCAATTATCGACACCAATAGTTAATTTTCCTTATTCAGCATTTAATTTTCAACCAGACCCGTTTCCCATGACGCAGAAATTAATAATGGCACAACAATAAACACAAAATCAACTAAATAACTGCCAAGAATAAGGAAAACTAAGAATGCATTCATTCATGTACTAAATGTTTAGTCCACCGACAATTTGTTACGTGCTGCAAATATTTCAAACATTGTATCGCGTCTTGGATGAGAAATGTTAACAACAAGAATAGCTCGGTGTTTATTTACACCACTACGTCACAAGTGCATGGTTTATTTTGGTACTGCAGTCGAAGTCAATCATAACATCGCTGATGATATTATTATTACCGGCTTGAGAAATTTATTTCACAATATACGCTAGCAGCTTTCACTTTGCTTCAAAAATTTACATAGTTTAACTTTTTAGACACTATGTCTAAAAAGTTAAACTATGTAAAAAAAACCAAGCAGCAGCTATAGCGCGATGCGCGCAACGGCAGACTCCTGTCGTTATTATCTTTACTTCTATCTACAGTCTACACTAATATATAAATCTACAGTGGTTTTTACGGATGTTCCGTTATAACTACTGAACCATGTATCCGAATGACTTGAAACTTGGTATCCATGTAGAAAATACATGTAGTTAATGTATAGGCTAATATTTATATGAGTGTTGGACTCTCTACACCAGTTGCGGGGGCGTTAATGATGAGAATCTTTGTGGGGGTGAGAAATAATAGTGTTCATTTTAAAAGCCCAGCGAAGCGGACGGCGACAGCTAGTAATACATAAGATATAAAACCCGAGCGAGCCTGTCGAATGACGTCACGTAAATATAAACTTAATGCATGATCTATAAGCAAAGCGACTTGGTACAAAAGTTTCCCAAAAGACTGGGAAAAACGTGCAACACAGAATCTTCTGCGGTCACGACGTCACTGGTGCAACAAGGTATACTAACGCGGGCGGAGTTGTCTGCAAGTTGTGTCTTTCTCTGAATAATTCTCTTTCGGAGATGTCACCGGCTCCCGCTCTCGCTACAGGAGACGCGCTTCTCGCCATTTTAGGACTATTCTCAGGCATTTTTTCTTGTAAAAATTCGTTTAAAATATCTTTGTTTGGCAGGTCGGTAAGTCAATGTGACGTTAATTTCGAATTTTTATTACAAGTCATTTTTTTTTTTTCATAATTTATTTTTCGGCTTGTATTTAAACGATTCCTAGAAAAGTTTTAAATATAATAATTAACACAGTCGTTTGCGACGGCAAATTGGTTTTGTTTATTTATTTTCGCCATAAATATACCAGCATATAAAATATATTATACTATACGTCACGCCAAAAAAATTAACAGGAATGTATTCTGTCTACATCATAGATAATACACTTAATTTATACGATGCAAAAAAGCTGAATAATTTGAAGGACCTGATGTATATATACATTTGTATTTATATCTGTTTACCTAAGACTAAACACGTATTTTATTAAACAACACGTAAAATTAATTGCTAAAAAATTAATAATATTCTTTAAGAACATGAAGGTCATTCATAAGACCCCTTTTAATCGGATGTAAATATTTTAGTGTTAGGGTTCGTGCTGGTCGCGTGTGGCGACTCCGCGTAGACGGCGCCGGAGGGGCTGCGACATCGTGGCGCTCCGACGTGACTGTCCGCACTCCCTACTCATTACTCAGTACTGACTGCTGTCTACAACTACATACATACACAAACCATTAATCAGATGCTCCGTACACTTCAGCGTGTCTAGTGCGAGTTTTTTAATGTTCTCGATAGGTTAAAAGTTGACTCAAGTTACAGTCAAGTCAAGTTTCAATTCCATACAAATTTAAGTTACCTTTTACGCTATCGAGAACGTTAAAAAACTCGCACTGAGCACACAAATAGGCTTTTATTCTCCCTATATAGGCTTTGCTTGCAATCGCAGAACCTTAAATCCACACGTCCTTACGGATCCATCAGATCCAATAACCTTTGCATTAGACGCCTTCAGCTCTAACACTAGGAGCAGGCTTAGGGACCCCGGTAACCGTACTTGTCGAACTCGGCAAGGAGTTCGACATGCAACCTAGTCCATGCATCAGCCCGCTGAGTTTCTCGCCAGATCTTCTCAGCGGGTCGCGATTACGATCCGGTGGTAGATTAATTCGCGAAGCAGTTGCTTTAGGTTGTTAGGTCTCCTTCAGAGGCGCTCGGGCAGCTGTTAGCAAATCCCACCCCTTCTGGCTGAGCCTTTGCTCGCCTACCTGTCCTGGTGAAACTGGAAAGGCCTCCGGGCCACCAGTAATCCCTCAATCATAAACAAAGGTTGAAATAAGAGTTTAAAAAAAAGTGAGAACCGTGGATCAAGCCGAACGGGTACACAACATAGTACCTATCTGTTTTTTTATATATATTTCAATTAAATCAATACATGCCTCGATATTTAAAGGCATCACCCAGGGCTGACCATCAAAAATGATATTGCGAATTTTAATTTGATCCCTATTTCAAATCGCGGTTAGCAGCCGTAGCTTCTGCCATGAGAGAAAACATAATGTAATAAAATTAAATCCGCTAAATTGACTACACGGAGAGCACAGTGCAGTGATCTGTCCTCCACTCAGACTTCGAGTGCATTAATTTATGAATGAAATTCGAAAGAATACCTACACTGTAGTACGTTTTTGAATTAATTATCACAATTTTAATCTTTAGGTCAACTAACTAGTAACGCAGCGAATTGAAAACGTTTGAATTATGTAACGATAAAGGTATAATTCGAGGGTGTCGGAACTGGGGTTGTTTTGCGAGTCGCAAGGGTGAATGGGCGCCTCACGCAACGAACGCCGACGCGACCTTCTGCCGCCGGCCGCCGGCGCGTGCTACCTGTCCTAGCTGAGTCACCAGTCACTTGATACGCTTTGTACCTCTGTCCTAATTGACCAAGAATATACTGTGTTCTAAATTTGACTTATTTTAAATTAAATAATATACAGTTTTTACTGATAGTTACCCTAAGCACCGGTCATCGTTCCCGTCGAACCCGTCGCTTGCGACGAAGGGCTCGGCGCGTAAATTAACCCATAGAGACAGCCCACTGAGCTTCTCGCCCGATCTTTTCAGTGGGTCGCGTTTCCGATCCGGTGGTAGATTCTGCGAAGCACGGCTTTTGCTAGGGTTCGTGTTAGCAACAACGTCAGGTTTGAGCCCCGTGAGCTCACCTACTAGCCCGGTGACGCTGATATGGTCTCTCTAGACCTTCAGCTTAGAGAGAAACAAAACGGTAGTGGTATGACGTTTTGTATGTCTGCACGGATAGGTACCACCGCCCCACCTATTTCTGCCGTGAAGCAGTAATGCGTTTCGGTTTGAAGGATTGAAGCCGTTGGACTGTTAGACCTTACAACTCATGTCTCGAGGTTGGTGGCGGCATTTACCTACGTTGTAGATGTCTATGGACTCTGGTTAGCACTTAACACTTTTAATAAATTACTTTGTATACCAGATTTGAATAAGTAATAATAATAAGTTTACAGTAATTAAGCCGTGGCGCGTACATAATGATATAAATTGTGGATAAATCTGAATATACATACCAGATATTCCCTACTACGTCCGAGCCTCAAAGATTTATAATGATAGGTAACCAAAAGGTAACTGAGTCATCCGCCCGCCCAAATCTTGTGAAACGCCCACGCTCTCGGCGGAATCGTTAAAACTCAATCCAATAAGGCCTTCTGAACTGACTCATCTGATGTAGCTTACATTTCATATGATGAGTCATTCGTCCAAATATTTTGGTATTTTATTGATATAATTATGAATGTTTGAATCGAAAAACCTAAACTTAAAAAATCTAAAAAATATCAGTATTGTATCTGTATTTTAAATAATGCCACCAAAATAGCCATAAAAATTAGCCATGTATTCGATATTAAAATTTTTAGTGCTACCGATGAAAGACGATCCTTTAGCCAAATGATCATCATGGTCATGGATTACAGACTACCATATAAAACAGAGTTATTACTTTATAATTGTTAAATATCAGTAGAATTTACATGAATTATTCATAATTCCTTTTTTTTATGGCTCTAGTCTCTTTGACGAATTCATAATTCCTTTGCTAATAATTTAGTTTAGATAATTGGCGGGAAAAGTTCGGAATGAAAAGAAACAACCGTCTCTTTCTGACTAAGGGGAAAAGTTTTGAATTCACGACGCGCATGCGCTCTATTTGCAAACGTCACACAAAGCAACCACGTGATGCTATACCGCCAATTGTTGGCAGTCGTTCTTCGTGTGACATNTCTTTGACGAATTCATAATTCCTTTGCTAATAATTTAGTTTAGATAATTGGCGGGAAAAGTTCGGAATGAAAAGAAACAACCGTCTCTTTCTGACTAAGGGGAAAAGTTTTGAATTCACGACGCGCATGCGCTCTATTTGCAAACGTCACACAAAGCAACCACGTGATGCTATACCGCCAATTGTTGGCAGTCGTTCTTCGTGTGACATCGAGGATTTACGCACACAGCTGCAACTTTTCATTAGTTTTTGACGTTCACTCAAGTAAAAAATAACGAAATTTGTGTACAAAACTTTATTAAAGCTGTAACAATATTATTTTAAAGTGTCTTCGAATGATTAAAAGGAAAATAAAGTGTAAAATTGTGTTCAGTGTTAGTTGTTTTGCTACATAACTACATAACCTGTGTTGATTCTTGGAATTGAACACTGCAAACGAGACGAGACCTTGATAACTAGTTCCTCGGACAAGCGAGAGCGAAGAGACAGTTATTATTATAACATCATTCACGCTGGAGGTACGTTTTTAGTTTACAGTAAGTGAAACATAACGTGTGTTTCCATCCGCGAAGTTAATAGTGAGTTTCAGTGCGTTCAAAGTTCACACGGACACCTGCTGGAACCGGGAAGTGTTACAAAACTTGTTCAAAGTTATGACGATGTTAAAATAAATGTGCGTTTCGGGTTCGTGCGCGGAAGGTCCGCTCTGAGGCGTCCGTGGGGACGTATTCTTAATAAGTGTCATGGACATCGGCGGAGGTAAACCGTGAGAGAAAATGCATGTTTATGCCCATTTATGAGCTGACGAATTGACACCTTCGCCTAGCACTTGCACGTCACTTTTTTCTGTTAAAACTACCAAGCAAAATAAACCGCTCATTATCCAGGTCTGGTCGCGTTTCGGCATAGTTACAGGCAAAAATGTAAATAAGCTTCCTGCTCGATGTGCTAGTATCTGGGTTGAGTGTTGTTCTATAAATATCTTTAGAAATCGGCCGCACGCCGACTGCAGACGTGGTGTAATGCTTATATTTTGCCTCTGGTTGTGGTAGACTTCATTATTCATTCATGAATTTCAATCACTGTGATGGAATTAAAAAATCTGAATTTTCAAATTATTTAGAATTTAGTGTGCACTGAAATAAAAATAATCTCACTCACCTCATTAGAAAAATCATCTGAAGGATCACTCTTGAACACTAAATAGTTGCTAGAAATAAAATTTTAGCTAGCTAGAAACGAGGAACAGAAATCATAAAAATTTTGAAATAATATCACTGAACAAATTTTGATTTTCCTTATTTACAGCAGCCATACAGTAATATGTTTAGTTTAGAAGTTCACTGTGCAATATGTAAGACTTGTTATAAGATCAAAGCTTATGCATATATTTTACTAACCAGAACTGGTTTTCATGCAAATTTTTTTACTAGTTTTAGTTTTATTAGTAGTTTTAGTGTAGTGATGGTATAGCAAACTGTATAGATATTGTAATATAGTCATAATTCTAATATTTTGAACCCTTTTTTGTTGGATGCGTAAATAAGCTCACACCTTACTTTGCTTATGGTTACCAGATCTCATAGATGTCACATTCTTGTCACAAGAGGTTTGTCTTCGTTGTTATGTATAGTGGTTGTCCCACCCTTCAAAGCTAAACGTATCATGGCTTCATGTTAGAAATAGGCATGGGTATCTCCTACTCTACCTCTGCAAGTCTATAAAAGCAATACAAATTTACTGCTTTTTGACATACTGAAACAACCCAAAGCAATTATTCTCCTTCAGATTCGGGATCTGTGGTGCTAGTCTAGAATATCATAAACGAATTTCTTCTACCCTTCTACCCTTAGATGTCATAATAGGTGACTGTTGAATTCATCAGAATACAAGCATCAGTAGTCTCTCGATATTATACTAGGGTACTCTGGTCATCAAATGGCAGCTACTGGTGATATGGCATATTGTCAGCTCACACAGCTGTGTAACAACATGTTGCTTACTTCAGCTGTAATCCTGAGATGCTCTGAGGATTGTCCGTGATTATCCTTATATCTTTTTATCATCACACTTCCTGCTACTATAGCAGAGTTCATCTGGAACCGTGCATTCATTGACAGTGTGTTTGCAAAGATCTTTTTTCTGCATACTATTGGGGGCTCTGGAATGGGTGCTATGACACATTCTTCTTTAAACAAGATTTGCAGAGAGTACTTAATGGTAGACAGGGACTTGTGTTTTGGCATTGCTGACGTCAATGAGCAACGGTAATTACTCACCATCAGGTGGCCCGTAAGCTTGTATGCCTACAAGGCAATAACAAAAATTCTTTCTGATTTGTAGGATGGAATAGCAGTTATTTGATACAATTAACTTTATTTTCATGTCATGTTAATTTGTAATGAAAAAATTGTCCTATACAAAGTTTTTTCAAGATAAAGTTTTTATATTATTTATTTATTTATTTTTTTCGTACTTATTCAAATTCTACAAAAATTACATCCAAGTAGTTTTTTTGTGAAATTTCACCACATCACTGAAAACCTCTTCTCCTGTGGTAATTTGACCTAAATCAGGCTACAATTTGCATGCTCCAGTACACAAGAACATGGATTAAAAAATCTATATGAAAGTTCACAATGGTTGACAAAAATTAAGTCCTGATTTTGGGTATTGATTACTATTGACTCAAGCCCCCATAATTATTTTTCTATGTGTATACTATAAGCCTTGACATTACCTCGATACACGAGTTTTGTTGTGCAATTCGTTTTCGAGACTTATTGATTGATCTAAAATATTGTTTGTTAATTTAAACAATGTCATAATAAGATGAAAGAGGTTACCGTTGGCTGTACCCCTCGACAATTCTTAGAACCCATCCGTGTACTATTTAACTGCTGTTAGTTTATGCATAGTCTGGTTTTTAGTTTTGTCAAACTAATTTAAACGTAATGCTATTTTGATAACGAACTGTATTAATATCATTACAAATCGATATATTAATTATCGTAGTGCGTTCCTTGTCTTGGCTTCTGTACTTAATTCATCAACTTCTGCTTTACAATAGCAGTAATAAGTTCGTCGAAAATGCTAAAAAAGCAATAGTGACATCTATACGCTAGATTAAAAAATAGCCTACTCATTTCAAATACCTACTGGCGTGTTGCCCTATGTGAAGTTTCCGTAGACACAAGTCTTACGTAGATATATGCATACGAAGCTAATATTTATCCCCAAAAACAAATTCGTTCTGATTCAAAATTTTTGCGAGTTTATTTCATTTCTTATTCAATTTTATCTTATTAATTTATCTTATTTAATGAATAGAAAATATAGCTAGTCCACAGACCTAGCTAATGCCATCGGTCGCTTTATTAGTTACTAGCGACCCGCCCTCGCTTCGCTTCGGAAACATTAAAACACACATGAAACCAAAAAAATAAAATAAAAAATAAATTAAAAAAAGTAGCCTATGTTCATCAGGGACAATGTCGGCTTCTAATGGAAAAATAATTGTTCAAATCGGTCCAGTAGCTTCGGAGCCTATTCGAAACAAACAAACAAACAAATCTTTCCTCTTTATAATATTATATTATTAAGTATAGATTGCTGTAGATAGAAAGCCCGCGGTCCTTGGCAATAAATAACTACCATAGTCCTATGTCTGCGTCACTACATGACTCCTAACATCGGCCTTAGGCCATGAGCTCGAAGTCTCAAGTCTACGTGAGTCAAATTTTAGTAACCAGTACGATTAATCGTCTTTCTGTGACTTGTTAAAGCGTCTATGAAAACCGAAGTAAAAATATTAGAACAAATATTAATGTTTTCAATAGCGTAATCATAATATAATTTGGTATAGTATCATCATAGTATACTATTAATCAAATTGGCGATGTAATTGCCATCCGTAAAAAATCACATTCGCAATCATGCTAACTCAATAAAAGTTTGACGGCTTCTTATTCTGTGTATACAAATTTAATTTTTTTATTTACTGATCTGCCTTTTCGTCTACCGCTGTTCAAAAGTAAATGAACCACAGAACGTGCATACTGACTGATTCAAATTTGCAAATGCAAGTTAATTCTTCTAACCTGGGTCTACTGCGTTCAGATCCCTTTGCCACAAACCATGCGACTCTAGAAAGAACTTATCTCGATATTTTCTCGGTTTTCATACGATTGTATATTAAAAAGGTCTACTTAAAGCCTCTTTAAGGAAGGAAACAATGATTTTCCCCTCAAGCCGCGATAAAATTTGTACTAAGAAACTTATTTAAATGTACAATGACGGTTCGTACGGTACAAATGCTCTTCAACAAAGTATCAAAATGAAGTAAGTATTTCATTAAAAATAGATTTAGTACACCCGACCCTCCTCTTCGATAATTAAGACCATCAATCTTCCGGTTTCCGATATGAGATAAATATATGTATGTACATAACAAAACCGCAATCTCTCGAACATGGAAAAGTTGCTATATTGCACACATACACAACAGACAGTCATACACATACACAAAGACACATCTTTAATACTCGTATAAATAATAACTTAGAGAGCCTTTAGGAAAACGCTTAAAGCTTTCTTCAATGTTGCCAATCTAGGTAACTTTTTCTCCGGTGCGGATCGGCACTATTTCCTCTACCAATTTTAATGAGGCATCTTGTTTGTTTTTCTGAAATACACCATTACGTATGTAACCTTTAACTAACTACAACTAAGATATCACCATACTATATCAAGAACATAATCTCAAAATACATTTTATTTCTTGGTTACTAGAGCAGGAATAGGGAGCCTCAAGTGCTGTGACGGATGTCTTTAATTTAAAACGAAACTTTATTGTTTGGCGGCTAAAATAACCGGTAACCATACTCGTCGAATTCGACAAAGAGTTCGACGTGCAACCTAACCTAAACATCAGCCCGGTGAGATTCTCGCCGGATCTTCTCAACGGGTCGCGATTCCGATCCGGTAGTAGATTCATTCGCGAAACAGTTACTCTTGAGTCGTTAGGTTTCCTTTGGAGGTGCTCCGGTGGCTGTTAGCAAATCCCACCCCTCCTGGCTGAGCCCTTGCTCGCCCACATGTCCTGGTGAAACTGGAAAGGCCTCCGGGCAACCAGTAATCCCTCAATCATAAACAAAGGTTGAAACAAGGGTTTAAAAAAAAAGTGAGAACCGTGGATCAAGCCGAACGGGTACACAACACAGTACCAGTAAGTACTCAACAGATATCGATGTGATTTCTGTAGGCACTCTTTTTTTATTGCTTAGATAGGTAGACGGAGGGACTTCGGTTCCCTCTGTATTTTGTACCGTATGTTCCATGGGGAGTGCTCTGAGGAATTGTTCGAGATGATACCAGCATCTCGTTTTTACCATCGCACCGCCCGCCACCGGAGTAGAGTTCATCCATACTACCTGGAGCCACTGCGGTCATCCACAGTGCGTTTCCAGAGATCTTTTTTGCCACGTACCATCCGGCTATGGAATGAGCTCCCCTCCACGGTGTTTCCCGAGCGCTATGACATGTCCTTCTTCAAACGAGGCTTATGGAGAGTATTAAGCGGTAGGCAGCGGCTTGGCTCTGCCCCTGGCATTGCTGAAGTCCATGGGCGACGGTAACCACTCACCATCAGGTGGGCCGTATGCCCGTCTGCCTACAAAGGCAATAAAAAAAAAAAAAAAAAGACGAGGTCACAGTCCACCTGGTGTTAAGTGGTTACTAGAGCCACAGTAAATGTAAATGCCGCTACCCACCTTGAGATATAAGTTCTAAGGTCTCAAGTATAGTTACAACGGCTGCCCCACCCTTCAAACCGAAACACATTACTGCTTCACGGCAGAAATAGGCGGGATGGTGGTACCTACCCATGCGGACTCATGCTGGGTCCTACCATCAGTAACTACGGAAATTATAATTTTGCGTGTTTGATTTTTATTACACTGCTGCTGAAGGGATATAGAAATGGGGTGAAAAAAACGAAAAATTATTTTATTATGCACTGTATCCGGATAAGTTTCTTTATTTAATTAAGACTAGCGACCCGCCCTGGCTTCGCTTCGGAAACATTAAATTTTATTATTGACTAACGACCTGCCCTCGCTTCGCTTCGGAAACATTAAATTTTATTATTGATAGCTGAGTCCCGCGATGTTAGTGAAGCCGCGGGGCGAAGCTAGTCTAAAAAAAGTAGCCTAAGTTACTCTTTATATCATCAGCTACCTATCAGTGAAAGTCCCGTCAAAATCGGTCCAGCCGTTCCAGAGATTAGCCGGAACAAACAGACAGACAGACAGACAAAAATTGTAAAAAATGTTATTTTGGTGTATTTCCCGTATATATATTTCTATGCATGTAGTAAAAAGCAGTTATTTCAATATTACAAACAGACACTCCAATTTTATTTATATGTATAGATAAAATAAATTTGTAAAACATTTTATGAAGTTCACATTAGGTTCGTTGTTCTTATATCAATCGTGACCTAGCTACTTTTTCTCGGTATCAGTATATTATAATAACAATACGTCGAGAACCTATTTTTCTTACTAAATGTCGTTATTTTTTCACTAGATAGGATGACAACATCGAACTCACTAATTTTTAAACTTTTAGCCTAATACTGCCGCGAAACAATTAGGTTGTCCAATTTGGAGGGTAGTTGAGAATGAGAATCATTTTATGCCTTATAAGTATATACATATATGTATATAATAATAGTCGCCAATGACGTTATGGTGGCATGAGCAGTGATCTCGTCTATCCTAACTAACCAAAATAACTAACATCCACGATAAAATTATTGCATAGTCCAAAGCAACTTTGTTTTCCTTACGTTGGAATCGATCATGCAAAAGTGCACCTTTTGGTGAAATAGATTTATTCAGGCTATCTATAAATCTTATAATAGATGAAGCATTTTACACGTGTAACTATTAGGGACACGTTCCAATCTTTTACTGGTCCATTTTGTTTGGTAGTTTACCTTGTAAATTTCGTTGGCGCAATTCAGTTTTTTACCCGATTTAATTATATGTTTTCAGTTAGTTGCTGAAAAGATAATAACGGGTATATTTTAATCTCATCCTATTGATTACGGTATTGTGATACATTTCTGCGTAAGGGTTTATGGAATATACCTATCTTCCTAATTTGATCTATTCGGAATAGTCTGACTAATTGCTTTGACAGACGGACAGACCGTCCCATTGTTTAGTATTTAGTTTTGGTAGTTATTCGTCATGACAAATTCGTAATTGCTAAGACGCAACCTTCAGTTTTTCCAAAGAGACAACGACAACTTAGCCAATATCATTCATTCGTTTTCTAAAGGATGACACCACTTTCCCTAGAAATCCAATCGGAATTCACTATGAATTGTGTTTAGGTAATTCGGTAGACGCAGCGTCGGTCGGCAGTTGAAGGTTGGGGGAATTCTCTGGATGCAGGCGGTGCAGGATTGGTTATTGTGGCGTTCCTTAGGTTAGGCTCGTGTCCAACCGTGGACCGCTATTGAAGACCAATTCGCTTTTCGTTTATTTATATAGATATGAGAACGTGTTTAGGACGCCTAGTAACGACAGTCGCGGTTGTACAAAAAAATATACAACAATTTTTTGAAGTGAAACTTCTTTATCGACGTAGGGAGGAAAAAACGTATGTAATGTTTTTCGGTTACGCGCCATCTTAATTTCTTCCGTTACGCGCCATGTTTATTTTATTTCTATTTAGTTTGTTATCAACAGATGTCGCTGCACGTAAATTCAACAATTCCTGAATCGTGGTGACGAGATGTTACACAGCTGATAGACGTTCTCGTATTTCTCTTGCTAAATCATACCTACCTGGCGTCAGGATCCCGTGATCATGCAGGCGGTTCCCCCGGGGTGCGGCTACTCCATTGCACTGCGGAGTGGTTGACCCTTGCGATTATTCGTATATTTCATAAGTTTCACTTCTACCATGTGTGACTTGCACACACACACACACATTTTTTTTTTATGTAGGTAAGACTTTTATAATTTGGAACTCGCTGAATGTTGAATTTGCGACCGTAGTGGGTAAAAAATTACAGAGCTAAAACCTGTTATCAATTTGAATATAATTTCAGAATTAAGTTAATTATAACTTTTTCTTAGCTATGACGGGCAAACGAAGGTCACGGTTGATTTTAACAGCGTTTGCGTGTCTCGCGCCCTGTTTTGGTTAAAATTAAAAACCACTATTTTCCCTTTATATCGAAATAAGTATATCAGTTACATACTGGACTATGTTCAATATTGTTGTCTTAGTAGGTAATAAATTATATTACGACAGACGACCAGAGATTTTTCGAATAGTAGTTCAGTATAGTTTTCGTAGTATATTATTCTGAATTATTTTAATATTAATTTTTATTCGATATAAATAATAGATATCTTTCTGTCCCACCTATAGTTCATAGAGGACTGAGGTGGAGACAACTTACAAGGAAAATTTGGGTTTTCCCCCTGCTAAAAAATGTTTTAATTTCATGTTAACAAGCAATAGTCGCGTTATTTAAATGCATCGTAATATGACATAATGCGCTACATAAAATTTCTATTGCTTACCAATTTGAAGTCGTCGTGGCCTAAAGGATAAGACGTCCGGTGCATTCGTGTTGACCGATGCACCGGTGTTCGAATCCCGCAGGCGAGTACAATTTTTTGTGAAATACGAATGTGTGTGAAATACGTACTCAACAAATGTTCACGATTGACTTCCACGGTGAAAGAATAACATGGTGTAATAAAAATAAAACACGCAAAATTATAATTTGCGTTATTACTGGTGGTAGGACCTCTTGTGAGTCCGCGCGGGTAGGTACCACCACCCTGCCTATTTCTGCCGTGAAGCAGTAATGCATTTCGGTTTGGTGGGTGGCGCATTTGCGTTGTGTATGTCTATGGGCTCCGGTAACCACTTAACACCAGGTGGGCTGTGAGCTCGTCCACCCATCTATGCAATGAAAAAAAAAATATATATATATATGTATATAAATATTATATTTTATATAATAAACCGATTTCGATGATGTTAGCAACAAATATTACAGTACACGATAAACCGAGGAATACAATATGTAGTATCGTATTACAGCGCATCGATGCATCCTATAGTTTGTAAAATACACGATAACATTGATACGTCCCTACCTATCATTAGCGTAAATTGTTTCTACTGATTTCATTTTATCTGCACATTGGAAACTGGAACCGTTATATAATTTACGAGGATCTGTTTTTAAAAATTCTACTGCAGCCTTTTTCAGTTAGACCATCACTACTGCAAGACGATTTCGAAAGGCGGGCTTCGGATAGCCTGCCGGCCGAGAGGGCTGGTGGTCGTGGCGCCGACGACCGCCGGTCCGGCGTTCCGAGGGTGAGGGTGATGGGAGCGATGTGCTCCGCACAAAAAGCTTCACTTTCCCCCCTTTGCCTTTTCATGAGTTCGTTTCATGCGAGGCTTGGATGCTGGTTGTTGAGCGACAGGAGGTTTTAGTCGGTTCGACTCGGACATGCCCCACCCTCCATTGGAGGGCGGCAGTCCGGCGAATTCAACTGACAAAAAAAAAAAGACGATTTTAGTGCTGTCTTCTATTAGATTTTTTTTGTTTTTATCGTGTTACAGATTCTAAACACACAAAAATACAAATTCTACCTTTGCAAACAAACAATTTCTTGCATAATAGTTCCGTTAGGTGGGCAGACCAGTCACCCGGTGTTAAGCGGTTACCGAAGTCCCTTAGACATCTTCACTACTACTTCGTAATATCGCCCTGAATGTAAGTACATAATTCTAAAAAATCGGCACGTGATATCGATGAAAAATGAACAATAGACGAATTAAATAAATACCTTGATTTGATAAACAGTGAAGTTAAAAGTAACGATTTGAATGATTGCCACAATTAATAGATTAATTGATAATGAGTCACCAAGCCAGTAGTTCCATTTGATAGTGAAAATTAATGTAAGTGTTTTCAACAAATCTGATACCTAATCGTAATTATTTTATCTTTTTCATGCTATATTTTATAACTTATATGTTTCTGAAACGTCAGTCCATAATATTTAAAAAATAATAAATAATACTCTGTTTTATGTTTGATAAAAGCAAAGTTTATGTTATTGTTGTTTAGCGGTATCACTGTTTGGACTCAAAGTTATTGATAATTACTTCAATTATCAATGGTTAAGGAACAACATTAGCACGAGGAGTCGTGTTATGTAAATTGTTTTATTTTAATCATTTCTCAGGTTCAAACTTGTGATTATAGTGACTTATTAACCGATTGAAATTTTTTAATTACGCACACTGGAGAAATGGAACCACAATTTTACTGGGGAAGCTATTTCATCTGATATCAGCTCACCTCTTCTTCATCGTTACCTTACTGCCGAGGATCGCCACCACGCGATGTTAACGTGAATTGCAGATGTTCATGACCTACTAGAGAGAGGCAAATTTTCTACCACATCTCGACCGCTTTTGAACGGCTTGTGTCATTCATGAGCACGTGTTTTTGAAAATTTTGATTCGCCATAAGCCATCTGTAACATTTTCAATGACTCCTAACACAAAATTCCATTGGCGATGTAAAATTTAAGACAAACACTTTTCGATATTTTTGTTCATAATGCAACTAGCAATACACGTTAGATATAACTAAAAATAGTACTGTATTTAATCTAAATAACAGATGTAACTCAAACTCCGCACTAAAGGGAAAAAAGGTTGTGCCAATCAGACAATAAAAATAAAAAAAAATTGTAAACATAAACATATTAAATTCATTCCCGATAATTTTACAGACTAAATTTTTATAATAAAAAAACATTTAATTGAATCGATGACTCGTCGGTAGGGTAGCTAGTTAAAAATAAATAAAAGAAAAACATAGAGGCTTGGAAAATATTACCGGTTGAGCAATGGCCCTTAGGCAGCTCTGGTCAGCATCAGAACAATAAATCATTATTTGAGTGTAGCATTTTTTTTCAAACGTAATATTAAGTAGGTATACTTAATACCCTAAAATCAAGTACTTACAACAACAATAAAAAAAACATTGCGAAAAGAGACAACAGTAACAGTAATGAATTATTTTAAACTACATATTAGTAATTGGAATAGTAAAGTAGAACAACATACATTTGTAAAACATAGCTTATTATGTTAAATTACAATCCCCAATACACAATTATGGGATGGAATAAAAAATAATAAATTAATTTAAAAAATTAATAAATAATAAAATAAAGCAATAAAAAAAAAAAGAATAGTTACAATTGATATTTTCGAATTTTATTTGTGTATTCAGAAGATACATTTTTAATATGCTTTAAAAGAACTCAGTGGTCTTGTTGCTGGGTAAATATTGTTCCAATATTTTGAGATCAAGTAACAAAAGCGACCTCTAAAAGCAGCCGAGCAGTGTGCATGAGTCGCTAACACATGCGAACGTTGACGCGACTGCCTACCGCCATATCCTAAATAATTAAACTTTCAGATGCTAAATCATTTTTGCAGTTTTACGACCCTAACGACTTCTTACGACTTTGTCTCTGGGTGATTATTATGTATAAAAGTATACATTTCAACATATATCAGTCTGGTTGTACATCAACACAAGGAATCCTAAGCTGGGGCCGGATGGTTGTGCAAGACTAGTTCCCGGTTATTTATTTTATATAAAATAAATTATAAAAGCAAAGAATGGGTATTAGGGAAGTATTTTTTATTTAATGTTTTGTCATAATTCTAAATAAAAAGACGAAATAATTACAGTGACGCGTGAGTAACGGCGGCTTAGTGATATAACGATATTGGACCCGGTCCAATTATGATCGACGAGACAAACTACCTAAAATCAACAGCTGATATTAGGTGAGTTCACGGGGCTCGACCTGGGAGGACTTACAAATACTAGCCCTAGAAAGAACAGTGTTTCGCTGAATCTACCACCACATCGGAATCTCGACCCGTTGAGAACATGAAGGCGATAAACTTTTGGGTTGTGTTCTAAGGGCTAAATTGCTCATCGAACTATTTCGATGAGTTCGCCGAGAACGGTGACCGGTGCTTGGAGAGTTGATTTGAGGGATCCGACAGCATGTGCTTAGGGCGACGGCGGCTAGGCGGCTGTGCGTTGCCCCGTCGTCTAAGTCGGTTATGTAATTGAGGGGGCGACGATAAGAAGTTTATCGTGTCGCACCGCCCTATAAAAAAACGTGGTATCAGTAGTTATAAATATTTTATGAACAGATATGAGTAGAAGGGTTATTTTGATAATATTCTGAAAAGCACCCCACGCTTTTTTTTTACAATAAAATCATTTTTTCTTACACTATTTTTAATTCAAATTTATTAAAATTTATTTTCTATTTTTTAGTTGGATTTTCTATAAAAGCGTATTTTGTTAATTTATTTAAACTATTATTTATTAGATACTAGCGACCCGCCCTCGCTTCGCTTCGGAAACTGTAATTTATTATTGATTTCTCCATTATTTAATGGATGTTATTATACATATAAACCTTCCTCTTCAAGCACTCTATCTATTAAAAAAAACCGCATCAAAATCCGTTGCGTAGTTTTAAACATTTAAGCATACATAGGAACAGACAGATATAGGGACAGAGAAAGCGACTTTGTTTTATACTATGTAGTGATAACTAAATTTAAACAAGAAGTTTTTAAATTGTATAAGTTGTGTATATTTATAAATATTTGAAAGTGAAAACAATGCAAAATTACGTCGATTGCAGTATCCTGCACTGTGTCCTGTATGTCAAGCACGAAAATCTATCGTATTCGTAATATAAAAGTATCGATGAATGATGATACGAAAACGGTTCATTACATTATATCAGCCTTTCTCAAAGTGGGCGATAACATCCTCTTGTGGGCGCTGCAGGCCTAAAGGGGGGCGTTGTGTAGAGGCTTGGGAGGCGATTTGTAATTTCACCTAG